TAATTCAAATTTATATGACTAAATAAAAAATATTTACACATCCAAAAGCTAAATTAAATTAAAAACATTTTGTATCAATGCAATATAATTTGATAACGATTTATTTTAATGCAATGTAATTTAATATTTTATAGATGGTTTGTTAGAAGGTATAAAGCTTCTATGACTAAATAAAAAATCTTTATTCACCAAAAGACTAAAGTAAGTTAGAAACTTTTGTTTTCAATACAATATTTGATAATGATTTGTTTTAATACAATATAATCATATATTACTTAAATGGTTAATTAAAAGGCATATCCAAATTTTTAAATAACCTTCTCTAAAAAAATATTGACAAAAAACTTACGCTATTAATTAAAGAAAGTTTAAAAATAGTTAAAGTTGAGAAATTTGCAAAATTTATGGCGTCACGGAAACTGCAGATAAAAAGAAAAGCAAACTATAAAAATAAAATCGTGTGTAATACCAGAAACAAATGTAACAGTTGTAACCATACAATATACATTTGCTAATATAGATGATTTAGTACAATCTAAGTTAATTAATAATTATATGAATTTAATGATTTTCATTATGCATTAAGAAGTTGATAATGACAAAAATTAATTAATTATAATAAATTAACAATTAGTTATGCAATTATTTTGTAAATATTAATTTTTAATTATATAAATTTACTGACATTAAAATTAATGACTACGTTATTAACCAAAATACACGATTCCCGCGGTGATTGGGAAAAAATTAAAGGAATTATCTATTAAAAATATGTTTTGGTAAATTTGTGTCAGTATTGATGTATTATATTGCATTGTCTACAAATGGACCGTAAGCATGATTGCCGGGCAAAACCGTTATGGAAAAAGACCGTGATTGTCAAAATCATGAACAGAAGCATAAATTGGACGAAATTATGAGTGCAGAATCTGTGACATGCATTTGGACTATTATTTGCATAAAATTTAAGATCGAAATGGCAGGTCTATACTGGACAATGGCCCTTGACCGTAAAAAAGAAGCATCAACGTGATGAATACAGAGTGGGAATAAACCCACATCTGAAGGTCTATCAATCAAAAGCCTGCATTTGAAGGTCTATCTATCGTAAACAACCTTTACTAATTCTCACAATTTCTAATGCTGTAATTTTGAAACTGTATTATTATTTCCTGGCATAGAAAAATGAAGGATCTCGCTCGGCTTAGAGCAATTTGAGGTTTTGTTCATGACTGTTTTTGACGCGAACATTAATGGGTTAATACCCACCTTTACAATAACTGATAATAGTACAATTTGAGGCATACCTTTAATTTTTAGTGTTTGAATAAGCTGTTTCGTTATATTATGTTTTCATCTCAGTAAGATAATTATTTTAAATTCACATCAAATTATACTAAAACTTTGCCACTGGCAGAAACACAATATCACACTATTTCTGACTAGAATAAGCACTAATAAAACATTCATTTTGAGCATATGAACAGGTGATTTACTTTTGTTTTCGGAAAACACGGTAGTTCATACAGTTTAATTGGCTGTAGTAAAAACATGCAGTATTACATAGAAACAATCAACAACGACAGCATTGGTGATTTATAATATGTAAGATTTTGAGGAGAATCATGTGTTATCAAACAATAGGGTTTTTGAACATATAAAATATATTTGAGCTGTTCTACTTTAAAAGTACCCAAAGTGTCACTCGCCACAATTTGCATTATGAAAACAAACCCAAAAGTCCTCTTCAGGACACATTCCTTCACAAGAGACATTTCGAAATAAGGAATAATTATCCTAAAATAAAAATTACTCTTTATAATATATATANTGTGTAATGAGTATATTTTTTAAAGAAAGGAATTTGCTAGAGTTTATACCGAATTGCGCTTCTCCCTAGTTGCGCTTTTACGTAGCGTATGCTCAAAATGATGGCGTTTTTAACGCAAAGACGGGCAAGCTTTGATGCTGAATACACCTATAATTAAATCAAAGCACTTCAAAAATAAATTTACTCGTCAATATTAGTCAATATTCGAGTTAATAGAGAGTTACTCATTTTGGAAAAGAATTAGCTAGTGTATATGTCAAATATATTCGTAAAATTCTAGGTAAAATTGAGGTATTTTTAACAAAGAAAAGTGCAAACATTGTTGGAAAGTACCATTTTACCCAAATAGGCCACCAAAAAAAGTTGTATACATCGTTATCTTGAGTTAAACAATATTTATAAAAATGACTTGATGCTGACACTTTAGGTACCTACTTTGTTTGTAAACTAAATTGGCATTGTCCAAAATAATGACAGTTGCCATTGTAAAAAAGTGAAATTCTCTTCTTTAACAAGAGCAATGACGCTTATATAAAATTACTATGCAACAGCATTGTTAATCTAGTTTAAAACATTCCTTTGGCTGCCTAAAAATATGGCTGCGTGAACTTTTGTTTTTCATAGAAATATAAATTTCAAACATTGGTAAACTGTGATAATATTTCTTACATTTTGTGTGTAGGTTTGCTCTGAAAAATTTAATATCCCAATTTTGTAGAAAAATACTCGACACCATGTGAGGCTATTTACATTATAAAACATTTTTCTAAAACGCTGATTGATTTCATTGAAATGAGGGTATGATTTTCTTGAAATTGGAAGGATAATTGAGATGCGTTATGGCGCTATTTTCTTAAAGATTTTAGCGATTTTCAGTATTATGTGGCTATGTTCCACACTAAAATCAACTCGCCAAAGGTAGACATGAAGTAAAATTGATTATTAAAAATCAATATTCAAGTTTTTGATAGTTTATTACATATGTACAGTGCGCAAAATTAAAAAAAAACGAATTGCCCTGAATAACTTTTGGTCCAATCATCAGATCTTCACGTTCTAGGATTCAATCTTAAAGGTTCGAGGATATGACCTCAAATACGCTAATTAAGTATTGCAAACGATATTTTTAGTTATGAAATCAGACACAAAAACGTACTTTCGCTGAATAGCCATACCTTTTTTTCGGCGAATTCTGATTTCTGACAGCTCGAAATATACGGAATAGTCGCAATCTGGGAAATGTGGTCCCCTTAGTTTGGTCAGGAGAGTTGTCCAAAGTTTGGGCACCTTAACCTTAATATTTTTCTTTGCGTATTTCACCAGATCTCGACAACTTTCTAAGCGAATAATTTTTTTTTTCAATTATAAAATTCGTTTATACAGAGATAATTCGTTGCAAAATATAACTTTTAGTAAATATTTACTTATTTTATTTAATACGAGTGAAATATTTTTTTTTTAATTGTTAGGTATAAAAATTTTACATTATATTAAAGTCTATAATTTTACATAGCAATAGTGAAAGTAAAATATATAATTTTACTCTGCAATAAAATTTGAGTGAAGTCGGTCGAATAGTTCCTGAGAAACTGGATTTCGACAAAGTCATACTATTAGAATTCGATATCTTAGGAACTGTTTGACCGATTTCGCTCAAATTTTGTATTTTGCTATTTAAAATTGCATGTGTATCTAGAATGTATATCTTACCATTCAACATTTTTTGACTATTATTAAATAAAATAATAAGAAAAAAAAATAAACATTTACTACAAGTTAGATTTTGCATTGAATTATTTTTTGATTAACGAACTTTACAATTGAGTACAAAAACCTTTCATTTTGTTTAAAAATTCTCCAGATATGGAGAAATATGCAGAAAGTGAAATTAACATTAAGAAGTCCAAAGTTTGGACCGTTCTCCTGGCCAAACTAGTGGTCCATATTTCTCAAATTGCGTCTATCCTCTATATTTTGGTGATCAAAAATCTGAATCTGTCGAAAAAAAGATATATTCAGGTGAGGCACATTTTTGTGTCTGCTTTCAGAACTTAAAATATTTTCTGTACTAATTAATTAGTATATTTGAGGTCATCCTTTCAAACTATTAAGATTGTGTCCCAGACTATGAAAATTGATCATTAGATCAAAATACTTTCAGGATGGTCCGTTTATTTTTTTATGCACTGTACAATAACGGTAACACCTTTATAAACCATTCCCTCTTTCTATTTCAAATTTAAATCAAAACCTAAGTTGAGTGGTGATATATTTATCCAAAAAATTGAGACAAGCATGTTATAGTTAGCAATAGGTTTAAACCAAATTGCAATAGTGAGTTTAGTAAGTGCTGCAATTAAATGTTCTTCTATGGCTAATTTACTAGTTTAGTGAGAAAATCCCGTGGATTTAATGATGAGTAAAATTGTCTGACATTGAATGGATGGACATAGATTACTTTAACTCTGGTTACTACACCAAACATTCGGACGAAATTGAGTATTTTCACTCATTCAAAAAAACTTCACATGTATATTTGAATTAAAATATTGACCGTCCTAAAAATTCTTGACACAAACGTACTGTATTTACGCATATATTTTAAGTTTTAAAGTGAAAGAAAATACCTCTGGTAATTTACATTTAATTTTTCAAAAAAAAAATAAATACATAACATGAAATTAATTCAGTTAGAATAAATTTCCTGAAATCTAATTTAATCCCTTGCCAGTGGCGCCCTAATCTAGTGCGAGCAAGTACTACGTGCAGGAGAAAAATTAACGATTTTGTGAAGCCCGAATGGCGTTCGTCTCTACTTTAGGATACTTAATTCACCATTTTCCTAATAGATGGCATTAGTGGTCCTAGTTTTTCGCCGATTACGACTTCAGTCCAGGGTGGGAAAATGTGGGTTGAGGGAGAGAAAAGATATGTAAAATTTATATATTGAAAATCATATTGTTGTGTTTTTATATGATATTGTACTAGTTATATTATATTTAGCTTCAAAGTTTTGCTTAATTTGCTCTAATTGAATAAGATATGTGTGTAATCCATTACTTTTTTATGTGTATGTAAAAATTATAAATACAGTAGTTATTGCATTTAAAATTTTATTTGTGTAATAAAAAACCATTTTCTAACTTTTATAATAATATAAAGAACAAAATTAAATAGTCAAGAAAATTTCAAATTTTCTGAAATATGGGTTAGCTAAGGGATTAATTAGAAATATCATTAAGTCGTACAGAAACAGAAGCCTATGTTTTTCGTTGTTGTTTGGTATTACTTGGAACTTTCATTAGATATGTTATATTGTTAATTGGATCCTACTACGGTGTGAGCTATTTGTTGTAAATATGTATATATTTAATAATTAAAAATTTCATAGCCATTGCTTACTGTTTTTGTTGACAACTTTCAATAGATAATCAGCGCTTCTGACTAATGTTCGATCTCATTTGGAACTTTCATTCGATATTTCTATTATTGAAACACCATCTTCTGCTAAAGAACTGCTTTAATATTAGAAATATCTAATAAAAGTTCCAAGTAATACTGAACAGTTGCCTTCCTCCAGAGCTTAAGAATCTCTGGAATCGATGTATTTCCTTGTTAAAATTCACGTAGTTTAAAATTGAGGGGAATCAAGAAATATTAATCATAACCTATTTTAATAATTTTAGAATAATCTGTGCAAAATATAGTCGTTTTCAGCTCAATTGCTAAATGGTTTCTGTTTCAATAGAAAATAAAAATTTGATTTACTTTTCTCCACAATTTCTTATTTTTTAAATTTTTTTTAGAAATAGAAACGTAGTTTGGCAGTTCATTTGCCAGAATATTTACTTTTCTCTACGAACCTTCCCTTCGAAGTCTCGTATTAGTTAGATTTCTCTAAAGATTTCAAAATCTTAATTTTCCTCTAAAGGTGTAATGATCTTAATTTTTGATTAAAGATCTCGTTTAATTTTTCACTAAGGATATTATAATCTTAATTTTTGATTAAAGATCTCATAATCTTAATTTTTCACTAAAGATCTCGTAAGCTCAATTTTTCACTAAAGATCTCAGAATTTTAGTTTTTCACTGAAGATCTCATAATTTTAATTTTTCATTAAAGATCTCATAATTTTACTTTTTCCATCAAAATTTTGTTATTTTAATCTTATTCAGATTTCACAATCTAAATTGTTTGCAGAAAGTTTTTTGGGAAGCTCTGGGACTGATCACGCTGACTTTCAAAACAGAATCTAATTACTATAATTTCATTGAATTGAGAAAAATTCAAGAAATCAATTGATGAAATTCCATTAAAAACTCATTAAAAAGTTTGTAAATAAACATATATTTTTAGAAAATGAACAGTATCTTTTCGCTTTAGCTCTGTCTGTTCAATTGCTGCATGGCTTCTGTTTCTGTAAGAAATAAAACCTCGATTTATTGTTGTCCAGAAAGTTTTTTAAAAATAGAAGCGTAGTTTTGCAGCTAATTTACCAGAATACTTTCTTTTCCCTACGAAACTTTTCTTCGAAGTCTCGTTTTTGTCAGATTTCGTTAAGGATTTCAAATTTTTAATTTTCTACTAAGGATTTCATATTCTTATTTTATTTAACTGAAGCTCTCATAATCATAATCTGTTATTCAGATTTAACAATTTTAATTTTTTACAGAACGTTTTTTGTGTGAATATTTGTGACTGATCATGCTGATTTTCAGAATAAAATCGATTCGCTATGATTTCACTGTAGTGAGAAAAATCGAGAAATCTATTGAAAATGATAAAATTCGTTAGAAACTCATAAGTATGTGAATACATTTTAAAAAAAATGTAAATCCGTCCGTTACATTCATTTCCCAGCTGTATTTATGTGCTATAATACATACAGCAAAATACACATAAGTGTTCCATTCTGGAAAGTGCTCCTTATTGGAAAGGGTTCCTATTTAAGAAAGTTTTAGAAGTCTTGGTTTACTCGATGAAAAATTTAAGAAAAGTGAATGAAATTCTAGCAATGATAAAAAGGAAAATTTATTTAAAAGGAATAATGGGTCAATATCTCAAATTTTCTTGATATTTCTGACTCTTATTTCTGCAGTTTAAATAGATATCCTTAGGCTATGATATCAATGCTAATGCAATATTAATACATAGAAGGAAGCAGTTCCCCTATTTATGATAGAAATATAATATATTTATACTTCTCTTATATTACATTTAAAATTATTCAGTTATAGGAACTTTAAAATGATTCTATTTTATTACGTTCTTCAAATTAGGGAAGGGAATCTTCTATTCTTAAAATTTCAAGAGTTTTCATGATATTTGATCAATATTTAGATAAGCATTCATTGTGTCAAGAATTTTTGAGGAGAGAATACAGAAGCTTAAGTGTAAAACGTAAAATTATTAATAACCTTAAAAAAATCGTATGTTTTAACAGAATTGCACAAAAACTGATGACATTTGAACCACACTTCAACGTGAGATTGAATACACATCAACATAACAATCGTCATCAAACAAAAAACCGTTTTCAAAGGATTTAAACATCCTTTATAATAAGATAAATACAAACTGAAATATAACGTAACAACATTTTAATTCTCAGCCTTCATTAAAGCCAAGAACTTTTGAAAGACGGATAATGAACAAGGACGAGGAATTGTGCGCAGATATAGCTTCACCAATAATTCTTGATGTGTACAACAACATATTCTATTTCCTCAATGTCAGCTTGATCTGCAATGACACCTATAAACAAAACCAACAACACAAATGACTTACACTCTATCAAGACATGGAATTTTTTCTTGACCATGTAAGTTTGGCGAATAGAGACTAAGGACATGTCCATTATCTTTGTACATGATATCCGGATACATGTTTAAGTCCCCCAAAAACACAAACGATGAGTCGCATTCTGAGAAGGAATCAGGTTGTCCTGGATCAATGACTAATGTACTATGGACGTGAGACCAAGTACCGTCTGAAGATTCTAGGGTCCGATGAAAGTTCGATTCCCCCATGATCGAAACATCGTGAATGTTCGGATACACAGCTGGTGGAGATGTAATTGCTTTTTCCAATTGCTCGTTATACTTTGGTGGTACATTATTGTGGTTACAGTTAGATTTGTGGCGATAATGAAGGAAGATAACGGCAAAAAGAGTGATGAGCAATGCTATCGTTACCGGTACAGTTATGAAAAGATAACTGAACTGTATTTTTAGATCATCGTTTTCAGCTTCTTCCATATCAGAAATGTACGTTTCAGAGGCTGTTTTGGATAAAAAATACATTTTTTAGTACAAAAATGTATTGGAAATGAAAAAAGCTTAAATTCAATGCATTTTTTACTTAATTTGGTTTGAATGCCAGTCTTATTCACTTTATTTTCGTAAATAATTTTTTTGAAAAGATTTTTACGTCTTCTATGCTTAATTTGTTTGAATGCCAGCTTTATTCACTTTATTTTCGTAAATAATATTTTTTAAAAGATTTTTATGTCTTCTGTGATTAATTTGGTTTGAATGCCAGCTTTATTCACTTTATTTTCGTAAATAAATTTTTGAAAATATTTTTACGTCTTCTATGCTTAAATTTTAATGATTTCTTGAACAATTCGGAAAAAAATAGTTATTTTTTTAAGAAATTTTAATCAATGAAGATTTTTTTTGAAGTTTTCAATAAATACAGTTAAAAAAACAACGAAGGAGTAAATTTCAATAAAAATCCTTACTAAATAGAATTAAATCGAGATGAAACTTGTTGGTCCAAAGAACTTAAAAATGTAGCGTAATGATCAACCTTAATATATATATTTAAAATCCCTTTCACGAATAAAGCTAGGAAATATAAATAAGTGGGGTCGCTAATAATTATTTAAGCAAAAAAACAGCTAAAACGCTGCTATACTCTGATGAATAACTGTCGAGGAAGGTAGAACATGAGGTGTTTAAACCTGTTTGATTGCTGGAAGGAACAGAAATTCAAATACTTGTATTTGAGATTCTTCTAAGTTTCAGCAAATGGGTTTTGGAGATTTCAGCCCACCAATGATTTGGCAGATTTAAACTGCATTCATGTTGCTTCCATGTTTCAATTTTAATCTTCAGACCTTACTGCGTATGCCTTTAGACATATTTTTTTATAATGATTCGAAATATATGTATTCAGGGTGGTGATTATGAAACACCCTGTATATGACTTAATTTATATTAAAATTAGAATGTTTTAGACGAAACTATCTTAAAACAATGAAATACCTCAGTTCTATCTAAATATTTCGTTGAGTAAATTATTTTGCAAATTTTTTGTAATGTATTTTTATTTTTTTGTATACCGATTTTGAAAATGAATTAATATGGTTATAAAATCCAGCTCCTCAATTAAAAAAATTACTTAATTTATTTTGAAATTATTTTAAATATTAATTCATTGAAATTTTTTAAGGGGACCGAATGAGGTTATGTTCATTTGTTAAATATTTAAAAAAAAATTCATTATTTAGAGAATGTTTGAGAATGAATGTAGAGGCGAATGTGTGAATGTAGTGAATGTTTGAGAATAAATTATACATATACACATTAAACGAAATAAACTGATTAGGAGTTTAATAGCAAAGAGAAAGAATGGTCTAAACTACTTGAATATGGTAGAACTGAACATGCTTCTAACTCTATTGAAACACCAAAAAGCTTGGTAATTTCTACCGAAGCTCTTTGGTAATGGTTCTGGTAAATATAACAATGAAATATGGTTTTTTATAAGGGTGCAAAAACCATGTATTCGGTTAAATTTACTTTTAAGTTTTGTATTTGTTACAAAATGTGCTGTTATAAGAACAATTTTAAAAACCAGAATTCCGGTGAATCGTTACCGAACGGAAAAAACTACTAAATGAATGAATTAAATACCGTATATATAGGATTTATTGACCAGAATATTTTTTAAAAGTTTTTTTTACAACAGAAATGTAAATTTCCATACGATACTGTAATTTTACGAAAATTTATTTCCTCCGTGCATACTTACCATAAAAAACTACTAATTTTCATGTATATCATCTTAACTTCAGAATTGTGCTTGAAAAGTTTAGTTTAAAAAATAGTACTTACCGTGTACTGGAAGCATTTAAAGATCAAAGAGAAACACTGCGGAGATTAAATAGTACTTACCTTTTTCAAACACTAAAGAAGGTCGTGTTTCTGTGCCAAAAGTACCGAAACAAAATATCGATTATTTGTATATGGGGTATCAATTAAGCTTTTTTTCCCACGCTGTTTAAACTTTATTAGTATCAATTGATATTTTTGCTTATTAAAGTTGTAGAAAATTTAATCCATTTCTTGGAAGACAAAATTGACAAATAAGACAAAATTGTATTTTAATTTCATTTCATGCTTCAAAAATTTTTTTGAGTTGTTAATAATTTCTTATTACTTTCTCACTACAGCGGTTTTACGCCATCAAGGAAAACTTTGAAAAAAAACACCAATAAAAAAAAAGAAAAAAGAAATGTTTAAATAAAAAATACTGGCATTCAGGATACCCATATTTTTTTATAGTAGAATTCATTTTTATAGAAACGTGTTACGGAGCAGAAAATCATTCTAATTATATAAATATTACTGTAAAAATTACGGTAAAATATTTTAGGGTAAAAATGGAGTTTTCAGTAAAAAATGGAATTTTACTGTACTGTTGTTGAATCAACTGTTTGTTGATTTTGCGTTAAAAACTAGTTTTACTGTAAAATGGATTTTACCGATGATTTTACAGCTGTATTCCGTAAATTGACCCGGAATTTTCTACAGTGTATTGGGAAAGAGATGACTTATAGGACGATGATGAGATAGCAAACTTTCTGTTATCTTATGATATTGTTGCTGTTGTTTCTTTATTTAAATTTTTCTTGTTCTATTTTTGTTAATGGCACTAGACGTTGTCCATAAAAAATTTGAATTGCATAAACTAGAAGTTAAATATTCTGAAGCCATACTTCCTCGTATCGTTAAGAAGGCACTTCGGAAACTATAGCCCATGGTATTGGCGCCTAAGCAGATGTATTTTCCGGCATCTTCTTTAGAAGCTCCTGTGATGATTAATTTGTTGATAAAGGATCCATCTGATTTTTCAAAAACTTCTGTTGATTTCAGGATTCTAAAATATTCTCCATGAACTTTAATGACTTTTTGACCTTTTGCTTCAGCATCTAATGGATCTGTTTCTTTTAACCACTAAGAAAAGAAGAATATTAAATGTTTATTGTTACTGAAAATGAATGTTTGATTTATTTATAAATTGAATTTATAATTATTGTTTATATCAGTTCACTGGAAAGAAATATGGTCAATAATTTCTAAAACAAGAATTTCCTGTAAACCGTTACCATATGAACGGAAGGATTGCCAAATGAATGGTTTAAATACCGTATATTTTGGTTTCGTTAACCAGAATTATGGTTTTATTACCAGAAATGTCATTGCCGTACAATTCGATAATTTTACCAGAATTTTTCCAGTGTGGAGTTACTTCAAGACTAACTAATGCATCATGTTGTTAGTAGTGGAACAGGTAAAATTCTTGCAAAAAATCCTTTTAAACTTTAAATGTGGGTCTTATTTTATATTAGTCTCAAAAATATGCTTAGAAAACAATAAAAGTAAAAAATGAGCTAAAAAGTATTAAATTTTATTATAATTAAGAAAAAAAACTGAGCAGTGCATTTGTAACACTTGCTCCCATCTTGAAAACCTTGTTTTAAATTAAAAAAAGATCTAAATTGCGTTACATAATAACTAACGTTAATAATCAGTAAAGTTACATAATAAAAACCTTTTTAAATAAAAGTTCTATATTATGCGTATTATTTAAAAAAATATTTCGGAAGAAAATGCTTCGGTCCTTCAAAATTAGTTAAAACCTCTCAAAATGGATTTTTTTTTTCAATTTAAGAAAGTCCAACATTTTAAAACAAAATCGTCGTACATGTATATCTTATGTAATACAAGATAAATAAACAAAAAGGTTGTTTTAAGTTGTGTAATACTTTACATGCTTACATATTTTAAGGAATTACAAACACCAATAGGGATAAGAAAATTAATTTTAATATTTGGTAAGCAATAAAAAAAGTGTACTCTATTGTAATTTATTTCAGTACATTTATTTCATTCTTACAAATATGACCAAAAATATTTTGAAATGTTCGTTAATTAAAATATGCCTTGAGTAAAATAATAAAGACAAAAGAAGCAATATCAAATTTTTATTCCCTATTCGTGTTTAAATTTGGTTTTCCATTTTATAGAAATAGCTCTTCTTGGAAAAATTTAATTTTACGCTACATTAAATAGATTTTTTCTTTTTAATCTAATGCAGCAAAAGAAAACAAAAATTTTATAACATCACTGAGATGAAGAATAATAATTTTACACCATTTTAAATTAGTTTAAACACAAATTTTTTCAAAGGAAAGATAGCTATTGAAATTCTTTGGGGAGAGGATTTATTTTCAAACTATATTTAGTTCGAATTTTTTCAAATTTTGTTCTCTCATTTATAGGAAACTAAAACATAGTTTATAAGCGTAAACAATTTTTTTCAAAATAAAAAATATATTTATATATTGGAAAAATGACATGAAAATTAAGTTTGGTAATTTAATTAAATAAATAATTTAATATTTGGTAATTAAAATAATAAAATTGAATAAAAAAAATGGACACCAAACAGCAATAAGCTGCATGAGTGTCTAGTTCCCTTTGAATATAAATTGATGTTTAATGTAAAACAAAAATCAAAACAAGCCGGGGAAGTGAATTCTTTTCTTTAAATACTAGTTTATGTATAGCATAAAAATTTAAAAGAAAAGCAGCACCGAGCTGCGTAAGTGACTAGTGTTTTTTGAATACAAGTTTATGTTTAATGTAAAAAATAAAATAAAAGACAAACAGCTCTAAACTGTATAAGTAACTAGATAAAAAAGTGACTTTTGACAAATTCTGATGTAACAGTTATTCTGGCGTGACTTTATAAGTGACTTGACAAAGAAAGGTGAAAATGTCTGATAAAATAACCGAAAAAGAACCAAGAAAAAAGTGACAAAGAACAAAATTTTTTGATTACCGTTAAAATCTTATTTTAAATTGTTTTCGATTTGATTCAATTTTACTTGACAAAATCATTTGGAATTTTCTATTCTGATACTTATAAAAATTGCTAAATTTAATTTTGTTTTCGATTTGATTCAATTTTACTTGACAAAATCTTTTGGATTTTTCTATTCTGATATTTATAATAATTGCTAAATTTAATTTTTTTAAATATCTTTTTTTTCACTTTTGCTGCTAGTTTAGTTAGTTGTTTAGTCTATTCAGTTAAAAAAAATGTAAATTTTTTGCTCTTTTGCGGGTTGAGCACATTGCAAAATTACCCACATAGAAATATAAAATCGAATAATAACACTGAGCACATTGTAAAATAAAAGCAATTTTTTTTTTAAAATTTGTTACATTGTTGTTTTTTTTAATCCTATAATAAACGGAAAACATCAATTTTTTTCCTTATGCTTTTCCTATTTGGGGAAACTAGGTTTTTAAAGAATTCGCATTCTTACCTGAACATGAGGTAAAACTTCACTTTTTACTCTACACTGGAAGACAGCCGAACCTCCCTCTTCAACTGTTCTATTAATTGGATGAATTCCACGAAGTTCTGGTTTTTTTCGTGCACCTAAAATAAAATCCCCAACATCAAAGATTATACTTTACAATTTTATCTAATTGTGAGAAGCATATAATGAAATGAAAATAAATCTTTCTTAGATCTTAGAAGAAGATTAGATACATAAGATCTTAGAATTAAAATCCCATAAATATCGTATAATTTCTTTTTTAAGGTGTACTCATTTTTGAATAAGGGCCGAAAATGTTTGATCTGTATTTCGACAAAAAAAAAGTTGAATGAAATAAATTTTTTAAAAATGAATTTTTTTAAAATTTTTTTAAATTTTTATATGTAAGAGATTATTGTGTTTATTGCAAATTTCCTCTCATTTATTTTATCCATTTCTCAAGTAAGCACTCATACTCTCTTTAAGTTAATTTCCGTCCCGCAGTGGACTGATCGTTAAGACACGGCTCCCAGCAGATCACCGAAGTCAAGCATCACTGGCTGCTGTCAGTGTGCGGGTGGGTGACCACTTGGATCAGTCTGCGTAGGGACCGAGGGTGTGCGGTATTGGCTCTCGTTAAACTGTTCTACCGTAAAGTGCTCGACTTCGCGTGCAGGTCATCGGGCTACCGAAGCGGAGGTGCCATCCCCTCTGCATAGGATCGAAATTGTGATGGCATGTCCTCGGATCATTCTCAGGGATGTTTCCCAGACCGTCGCCAATAGCCCATTGCGCAGCTCTAGTGCGACGTAAATGAACTACAACAACAACAACAAGTTAATTTCCATTTTAAATCTTTATATTTGACCCTCTATGCAAGCTATAAGCTAATCTTTTTATCTTTATATCTTCCGGTTTTTAAATCCTTCTAGAATTTTTGTGAAGTAAACTAACGGAAATGTGCGTTTGATAAGTTTCCAGTACATTTTTTTTTCCTTGAAAGTTCTTAAGTTTCTCTATAAATAGAGATTGTTGATTTAATTAGATTATGATACAAGATTTGATCGTGATGTGTTGATAGATAAGAATGCTACATTTTGGATGAAAAATAAGATATTTGATGCAGTTTTTGAAAGTGACTCTTAATTTGCTTGATTATTTTTTCAAACTGCATCCCATATCTAGTTGATTTCTTTTGTACTCAGAATATAAAAAAAATTCCTTTGAATAATTTTTAGTAGATATCTAGCAGGAGTAGATATTTACATTTTTGGGATTCGTTGACACCAGCAGTGCAACAATTATTTTCAGAAAATCTTTAGTGCTCAAAAATTCCTCATCCGATAAACTAAAAACTTTCCTGGTAATTTTATACAACTTTTAAAGATACAACGCACAGAAAATTTTTCAAAATAACGTGAAATATTTTTATTATTTACTTCACACTTAAGGTGGTTCGTGACAAAAGTCCCCAGAATTTTGAAATTTTTTTACTCAGATTTAAAGCAGGATATTTGTTTTGTAGCTCGCACTTTTGTTAATCGTAATTTTAAGATCTGTTTCCTTACTTGCTTTTATTTTATCATTAAAAGTGTCCCCGGCATAAAACTCTTTGGAACTTCTAGATTTTTTGCTGCTCGTAATTAAAAAAAAAATGATTCTAATTTTTTTTCAAGTGGTTAAAAAGTATGTTCATATCTCAATTGGAAAACAAGATATGACCTTTTTTTTTCGTCTTGAAATTTAAGTTTTGTAAAAATAATTATTTTTTTCTTAATAACATTTTGGATGTTTTTTTGACTTTAAAAGAATATATCGCACATTCAAAGCGAAAAAAAGTTGCTATCTTCTGTGAACTTGGAATATATTGTACAATTAAGATTTTTTAACTTATTTTTAAAAAAATTAAAAGTTTTCTTTCCAATTTTGCAAAAAAATACAATAAAATATATTCCATTTTAAATTAAAATTTTTAAAACTGTTTTATATGCAAAAATAAGGATGAATAGGAATTAAATTATCAATGTCTTAATTAAAATATCGAGAATACATTAAACTAAGTTAAGGTGTTATATCCGGTATAAAAAAATAAAAATGTTATTTTTCTTTACAAAATTAAAACATTATTAATTCCTCAGAGATTTTATATTTTAAAATGCATCACAACAGAATTGAGAATAAATTTTGTATACTGATTAAAAAGCACAGCAACGAAAAAGGAAAATTACCATCACAGATAATTTACCATTAAAATATTACAAATTTTAAATGTATTTCAAAACTTGCTTAAAACACACTTTAAAGAATATTTTTCATTATGTTATCTCCCTAAACTTGCGAAAATCACATCAGGATGTAATTATTTCTGTCTACGTAATAAATAAAAAAACATAAAAATCATATATTTCGCTTCTTCATCCTTTGCATTTTCTCGTTTATTGTGTGTTGATTCATTTTTCTCCTTTTTAATATGCAATTCAGGATATCGTAATCAAAGACTCTATTAAAAACTTCAGAAAGTTTTAGTAATTCTTAGTGAAAACTTAATCGTTTACTTTCAAGTAATGGTATACAGATCCTAACTTATTTTAAATTGCTTAATATAATAAGCGTTGTTAACATAGTTTATTTTGATCTCCTTATTATTTTGCAAATCATAAGTTCGTAAGCAAGGATTCCATTAAACATTTTTTTCAAAAAGTTTCAGTAAATTTTATTCTGCATTTAATGGTTTTCTTACTAGTAATGGTATATAGATTCTAACTTATTTCAAATTGCCTAATATAATAAGCTTTGTTTACATAGTTTATTTTGCTCTCCTTATTACTTCGCGAATCATAAGATCGTAAGCAAGGATTCTATTAGCCATTTTTTTTTTCAAAAAGTTTCAGTAATTTTTAGTCTAAATTTAATGGCTATCTTACTAGTAATGGCATATAGATTCTAACTTATTTTAAATTGCTTAATATAATAAGCTTTGTTAGCATAGTTTATTTTGATCTTCTTATTACTTTGTGAATCATAAGATCGTAAGCAAGGATTCTATTAGCTATTTTTTTCAAAAAGTTCAGTAATTCTTAGTCAAAATTTAATGGTTTTCTTACTAGTAATGGTATATAGATTCTAATTTATTTTAAATTGCTTAATGTTAGAAGCTTTGCTAACATAGTTTAGTTCTCCTTTTTGCTTTGCGATTCAGAAGATCGTAAGCAAGGATTCTATTAGGCATTTTTTTCAGAAAGTTTCGTAATTCTTATTGAAAATTTAATGCGTTTACTTAGTAATGGTGTATGGATTATAATTTATTTTAAATTATTAATGAAGAAGCTTTGTTAACACAAACTTTGCGTTTCTAATCGGCACTTTTTTTAGAACATTTTAGTAATTCTTAGTGAAAATTTAATGGCTTACTTAATGGTGTATAGATTCAAATTTATTTTAAATTGCTTAATGTTACTATTTTTTTCATATTTAATAAAATATTTTAAAATTATATACGTCGATTTTTCATTTCCCCTCACTTTTCGCGCTTTAATTATGAATAAGATGTAATTCATGTCGCTCAAATTTTATCATTCTTGCTTCATGATTCAGATGACAAAAGAGAGAAACTCCAATGGTTAATTGTTTTTTTTAAAATTTAAAATAATTCTTCTTAGAAATTAAGTTATTTTTAGTAATAATTAAGCGATTCTAAATGGTTAAGCAGTTCTTAGATATTCTTAGACTTTTATTGATAGTTAAGCAATTCTTAGCAATAATTGAGTAATTTTTGTGATAACTTACCTGGTGTAACATCTACTATGACCGTGTAGTTTTGATGCCCATATAGATTGTATGCCACGCATGTATAAGTGCCTTTATCATCTTCCTGAAGATTACGGATGAATAAACTCCATCTGCCTCGTTTCAGTCCGGATGCTAATGAGGTATTTAAAGTCTGCCCATTTTTTAGCCACGTGACTTGTGGTTCAGGATTCCCATCAGCTTTACATATCAATCTTAAAGAACTGCCTGCTAATCTACTTATCCTACCATTGCTATTGGTCCTTGTGACATTTACAAAATAAGGTGGTTCTAAACGAAGAGTAATTTGTATACATATAAGTTAAATAAAATGGTGTTTATGCAATTGAAATCATAATGGATTTCTACTCTTACCTTTGTCCCTGGCTCTTAAACCTGGTGGACTATTTATTTCTTCAGTATCTATATTCTCTCCAGTAGCTGAAGCAAATAATACAATTATATTAATTACTATAAGTTTAGGTATGCATTACTAGAGTAATTTTTTATTTATTATATCTTCAGAAATAAACAGTTGTGATTTAAATGTTAGAAAAGTAAGCAGTGTTTTTGTGAACAAAAATGACGATATTTTCTACATTTATCGCATCTTATAAATACTGACCAGAGTCTTTGAAAAATTAAAAAAAAAGAGAAAAAAGAAAACTTGTGAAATTTTTAAGTGAATATTTGAAAAATCATTGTTTAACTGTTCCAATTTATCATTAGGTGAACCCTCACAGTTATTTTGCAACAGAAATAATTTCTTTAAATATTCAAAAAGTTTAAAAAAAAGTTGTTTTTTTTTTAAATTTTTTTAAAAAAAAATTATACTACGATTTTCTTTAGCTTTTTCTAGACACTGGTCAGCTTACCTATAATTATAATTAATAATTGCGATATCATAGTATGACGTGGTATTTATGAGAATACACTTAAAATTACAGCTATTAAGATATCAACAGAATATTGATACTTCATGATGCATAAATATATTGCCCTGTTTATGCGTAAAAAGTATTATTTCGAAGATCGTTTACGTAAAACTATTTTAATAAAATTTAATAAAAAAAATCTTACGATATAATAAGTATGCAAGGTGTTCTATAACAAATGCTTTTAATATGTATTTTTTGAATCCTTGTCAAACATGAGTTAATAAAGATATGAGCATCAGGGAAACTTAATATTAACTCGAGAATTATGAAAAATCTAAATAGAATTGAAAACAGTAAAATCTGTCTCATAGAATTATTAAACTTGAAAGTGTTTCTGCTAGGCTCAACCTTCTCTGTCTCCTTCGGCAATCAAACAGATTTTGGTGATTTTAATTTTCTTTTCTAATTATTGATCTAGCAGATTTTGACAATGTTTTTTTTTATTTTATATATTTTTTGTTTTATTTGCGGCTACAATCTTAAAATATTTTTCTTCTTCTATTTTATGACAGAATCAGTTTAAGTTGTAAATAAATAATTCAATAATTCTTGAATTAAAAAAAAATTAATTATAACAACAAGAGTTTTATTGAAATACATTTTTTTTTAAAATAGAGAAATGAACTAAGTTATATGAATGTTTTTCTATAAAGGTTTTTAAAATGTAACTAAGATAATTATGTCTATTTCTAAGCTTAAATTGTCAAAGATAAACTCGTGTACAATAAACTCAATTCCACCGTTATAGATCGGTGTATAAAAAGGATTTTGGGAATTATCAAGATTAAAAAAAATCATTTGCTATATAATAAGGATTTCGAAAAAAAATTGCATATTTGTGTTTTTAATTTAAAAGAAGATTTTGTTTGCCAAAACAAGAATCATATTAACACGTTCTTAATTATAATACTAGTTATTCAAAAAAAATTTCAATTAAATTTAAAAAGAAATAAAATATGTCAATTATATCTTGAAAAAAATTAAGAAATTTCGCTTGCATATTTTAAAAAATTTAAAAAAAAATATCGATTATATTTTTGCTAGTTTTTGCTCGTTTGCATTTGCTAAGCAATAATATTAAAAAAACATCCTTTTCTACTTATATTATAATAATGCTGGACCTCTCATACATAAAATTAAAACAAAAAATTATCGTTTGCTACTACAAACTAATAGCATTAAGATACTCAAACTAAGATTTTAGAAAAATACCGTTTGCTACTAAAATTCTCATAAAATTCTCTGCAAGCATGTAGAATAAACCAGGAAAATAAAAACTTATGTTTATTGGGTCATAAAGATTGATTTGGTTTAACTGCAGGAATAGGTTTTAAACCTATAAAAAGTCAATATAATTTAGGAACTAACCAAGCACAACCAAAGTCACGTTTGTATCCACTTTCCCAAAGCCGTTTACAGCTCTACAAATGTAAAGTCCTGAATCCTGAGGGACAACGGATTTGATCTTGAGGACGCCATTACTTTGGACTCGGAATCGGTCCTCATGAAAAATGCTTAATGACTCTGTTCCATAGAACCATTCGAAGAAAAGGGTGTCTGGATCAGCTTGGACTGGACAAGGTAGTTGGACTTTAGATCCCTCTGGTACTAGTCGCTCCATTACATAAGCTTCTGGGACTAGGCGAGGCGGACCTGGATAAAAGCAATACGTTGTTTAATGTGTTTTTTAAGATAGGTTAAATTTCCTTTAGAATAAAGTTACATCTTACATAAGCAAACTTATAAAAGCAGAGAAAAGCTAAAGGCTGAAATCAACAAATGGAATTCTGTTACTAGTGTTCAAACAAGTTTTGTAGCAAAATTACCCAGAATTTTAAAATGCATATTAATATCTCTACACATTCTAGAATAATTTGGTTTAGTACATGTTCTGATCAAAAGTTGAAATATTCAATATTCCAGAATTGATACTTTTACATAAACAACGATTAGTTAGTGCATTACTTAGTAGATCGGTATATCGAAATTCGGCATCAACAAAATTTAAGAAAACTTTGTGGTAAATATTACTGATAATTGTAGAAACTTTTTACGGTACTCTTTGATATTTATAGTAAATTAAGTGGAAAACGCAGTCCTGATCAATGATAGAAGGCCATGGTAGCTTGTTTCTCTTCAAATGTAACGTTGCGACAAAAAAGGTGTAATCTTAACATCTCTACTCATTCTGGATTAATATGGTTCTGATCAAAAGTGAAAATATTCAATATTCAGGAATTGATATTTTTACATAAAAACGTTTAGTTAGTGTACGATTTAATAGATCGGTATATCAAAATTCGGCATCAACAAAATTTAAGAAAACTTTGGGGTAAATATTACTGATAAATGCTTGCTTCTCTTCAAATGTAACATTACGACAAAAGGGTGAAAACTTAACTAATCTGGTTTAATCCACGTTCTAATCTAAAGTTACACTATTCAATATTTAGAAATTGATACTTCTACATAAACACCGACTAGTAAGAATACGATTTACTATATCGGTGTATTAAAATTCGGCATCAACAATCTCTAAGTCTATAAATCTATAAAGTATTCATTTTTGGAAATTTTTCCAATAAAGTTTGAAACAGACTGTATGAAATATATTATTTTCGAAATTTTGCCAATTCCTCTGAACTGCAAAAAATTTTAGGAAATTTCGTTTTAAATATTACTGACGAATGCAAAATAATTTTTACAATACTGTTTGATGTTTGCAGTAAACTAAATGGGAAAAAGCGGTATAGATCAATTATAATAGGCCATGGTAGCTTGTTTGTTTTCAAATTTACGTCATGAATAATTATTTAAGAGTTTTTTATTTGATTCTAAAACCACTCACACACTATCGCTGGATGGTATTGGGGGTTAGCTTGTCTTTTTCGTAATGACTTGCACCAGATTCTATTTTTGGTGGTGACTGATTACTAATTCATTCATACTTTTCCTATTTTTGTCATGGAATTTACCGTAAAAATTACTGGCGATTTTATTTCGCTCCATATCTCTATTTTTCCATTAAGTCGATAAATGTTGATGTTCAATAGAGTTGTAAGGGAAAAATGGGGATGAATATTTAAAATTTTTAATAAATGATAAGGCATTTACTTGTTTTACTGAGGCAACTGAACCAGGTTAATGTAAGACGTGAACATTTACTTCGCAATTGCTCACAAAGAATTTATGTTCTTCTCTTATTTCTACAGCCTCTACATAATTTAGGCTTTTTACTGTTGGAAATAAGATGTAAGCTTATCTATTTTTGCGTATATTATGATGAATGAACTTAATTTGTCTATTTTAAATTATACTTTAAATCATCTAGCATTAATGTTTTAAAGAATAATTCGGAATGCTATAAATAAGTCGGAATATCATCTTTTTTAGTTATTCATTATTTGATGTACTGTTGATTGTGCAAAATGTTTTTGAATATTTTTAATAGTTACTATTTCTTTTAATTTTTAAAATATATAAAATAATTCCACTTAGTTAGCTAAGAAATAATTATCTTTCCTGATTTCCCCGTTTTGATATTTCAAAAATGATTCGCGTAAGCCTGAGTTGGATAAAATATCATGTAATCGTAATTGCAATCGAAATTAAAATTCTAATCATGACTAAATAGAATCATAATTACTTATAATCATTGATCATTATTAATTGGGGTAGAAGTTCAATATTAATTGTAATTATGATAATAATGGTAATTGCCGATTGTGATTGTCTATAATAACAATTGAAATTGTAATTAATTTTAATGATTACAAGTAATTGATTACTTCTTATTAAATACATTTTGTTTAAATTTGGTGCAGAGTACGCTTGAACAGATTTTCGAAGACTTATCATTGTTTTGAAAGTTTTATTGTAGCATTGTTTCATTTATGTTATTTAAAATAATATAAATGATTTTATAATGACTAAACATAAATGACTAAAAATAAAACATAAATAAATGTCTATAAATGACTCAATGTTTATAAAATAAATATTTATCTTATGAAGAATTGTAGAATATTCTAGAAACATATACTGACTCACAGTAAAAAAAATCGCAATGTTTTTTTAGACAAAAAAACAAAAACCTCTGGAGCACAAGTTAACCTGGTTATATTTTTCCAAGGCATGCCATTGTTTTAAAAGACTCGTTTTACCATTGTTTTATTTACATAATTTGCTTGAATATTTATAGTATAAGTATGTATTTCTTTATCCCATGAAGAATTGTGTAGAATAATCCAGGCACATGGTAAAAACAAATTCGCAATGTTTTTTAAATAAAAACATTTCTGAAAAACCACTTTTTTCGACCTTTAATTAGTACAGCATTTTAAATTATAAAAAATGCCTTTATTCTTAACTGTCACGATATCGTAGTGTTGATTCAATTGCAATTTCATGACAGAATAACAATCCAAATAATACTTTAGCAAAGTAAAAGAAATGTTGTCAAATTAAAACTTTTCATAGCTCCGTTTTAAGAGGCGCCATGAACAAAATATTTATTATATCGCATGAAGAATTTTTTCAGAAATATGTACTCGCGCCAAATAAAAACCCATAAGAGTTCCCCTTGTACTTTAAACAAACACAAGATTTTTGAAAAATGCTTTTTTTCGACTTCAAATTAAGTAATGAAAAATACGTTTATACCTAACTGTCACGATATCTTAGTGTTGATTCAATTGTAGTTTCGCAGTAGCAAAAAGAATACTTAAAGCAATGAAACATTTTGGAGAAATTTCGTAAAGCAATTTTTCATAAAGTAAAAATGTAAAACATTATTCTAGATTCAAGCCAACATTTACTCATGTGATTTATTTCCGAAAATATTCATGATAAACTAAAATGCAACGTTGTTGCGAAAGAGAAGAAAAATTGCACAGCACTTAACTTTTCAAAACTCGTGATAGTGCGTGCACTTTAAATACCTAAAAAATAACCCACAATATTTTATAACCATTCTTACTTAATTGGTATAGGATTTAAATATTGATCAATAGTGACGAAGCCATAAATTAAAGGAAATGATTATTTTTTTCCTGCCTTACTTATCAAATAAATACCCTGTGAGAAGGAAGAGAATAAATTACCATCATCATGTATCTGCCTCGTTCTCTTGATCACGATCTCATATTAAACAATTTTGTAACGAATCCCATCTCGTTTCTAGACGAGAATTGACGTGATTTATGCGAAATGACTTGGTGGAAAGCTTTATATCCTTAGGGTTTCTTATCATTTTTGAATTTCCCATTCCTCACATAACTCATAAGTTTGAATTTTTCTATTTTGGAATAAAAAAAAAATTTTTTTTTTTACCCAATCGTGCATAAATCAGTTTTTTTTCTTTCCTATCACAAAAATAAAAGTTTCAAACACATCATCAACATCAGTTGTTAATTAAATCGTCGCTTAAGATAAATTTTTGAGAACGTCATGATAGAACAGAGAGATTGAAACAAATGCTTATTTTAATTTAATATTTGGAGAGGAAGATAAACATGTTTTTTTTTTTAATTTTAAAAATTACTTGATGTAATGTTCTAAGAATTTAACGCTTATCTTAATAAGGAAATTAGCGATTAAAGTTTGCTATAAATAATTATAGTATATGATATTACAAATGATGTTTATTTCAGTTATCTAAAACCTGCTGTTTAAATGATAAAATTTTGAAGTGAATAATGTACACTATGAAAAAAAAAATTGTTTTCGTTCCATGCAACATGCAATAATAAGAATTTTTGTTTTATTGTAAATAATTCTTTGAATAATATATGTATATATATCTATCGTTCTTTCGCAAAGAGCCATAAATTTTCAATATTCCAATTATAAGATTATTTTCAGAGTTTATGTGTAATTTTTTTTTTTTTTGGAAGCAAAACTCATTAAAAAAATCCCATAAGTTTCTTGGAGTCCATAGAGCGTCATGCTTTTAACAAATCAAGATTTTTAAATTTTCCCTTTAATGAACCCAAATATTTTTTAGCTAGATATATTTATTTGAAGATATTAACCGCGTAGTGGTGAAGAGTAATTTACTAAAAAATATTATATTAAATAT